CTTACAGCAGGCATTTGTTTTGTGTTTCTGTTTTGTTTGTTTATTCAGATGGTTAGTTAAAATATTCCATTCTTAGCACAATTACAGTGAAACATCACTCAGCTCTCGCCAACATCAAACACACTCACTGTACGCAGTGATGTGAGCCATGTCAAGATAAACAAACATGACATATTAAACTGGAAAATGAGTCACTCTTATTATCCCACTGAAATAAATCTGGAAAACACTAATTATAACAACCTGCTCCTGATCCTGACTGATTCACCCCAGATCTCTGGCTGTGTGTGTGTGTGTGTGTGTGTGTGTATACGCTGTACAGTATGTGTGTGCATGTCTGTGTGTTTCTGTGTGTTGCTGTGTGTGTGTGTGTGTGTATGTGTGTGTGTGTGTGTGTGTGTGTGTGTGTGTGTGTGTGTGTGTGTGTCTGTCACATTTTTCTCCTGCTGCCGCCTTAATAGGCAGTCTCTTAGATATTCGCTACAGAATTGCACTCATGCAATATTAATATCACACCAAAATATGGAAGCAGGAGCCCCCACCCCATCGTTCACTCCCTACATAATTGACTATGCAAGGCTCCAAATCAGCTTAGAAAGAAAGAGAGAGAAAGAGATGGAAAGACAAAGAAGCAGAACAAGAGAGGGAGAGGGGAGCGAGAGAGGGGAGGGGGGGAGAGAGCGGTATAAAACTAATGGAAACAGAAAGAGAAAGACGTGTACTGAAACAATCCTGTCATCTTTGCACTATAGCACATTCTAAACCTTCGTCCTATGTATCACTGTCAAGCCAGTGGAGCTAACACAACAACAACAACAATAACAACAACTACAACGATAGCACAAACAGTTTGGCTGCCTGCAAAGAAAACAGTAATGCTCATCCAACCAGTGCTTAACTAAAACCTCCATACAGAGTGATTGTGCATTAAAGCTCCTGTGAGAAGATTTTAACTAGTTATGAAACGGACTGAAATTAATACAGATGCCTTAAAATGACATATAAAAGCAAATTAAGATAGATGATTTCTGTAGAATAGTTTGTATTGGTATTTTAGAGTAGTTGTAAAGTATTTCAATGTCTATAAATGCTGATGCTAAAGACTGATCCTGCCTATGGCATCTCTTTTTAGATGACGTAACAAACTGATTTGTTGCATCATTAATTTTTAACAAAACATAAATGTAGATTTTCAGTAAGCAGTTTCTAAGGGAGTTAAAGTACTGTGCTGTTTTGTTTTCTTGCTGAACAACAGCCTGAGTGGGACTTCTGAGAGTCTTTCCCTCTTACATTTCAAATAACTATTTTTGCAGTGATATAACAAACAAATGTGCTGAAGATTAAGTATTAAGGGTGTTGGTTGGTTGATTTTTTTGAAACATTGTACAGACCAAGACAAGCTATTTTGCCTCTGGTCTTCATGCGTAGCTAGGCTAATCATCTCTGGGTTCCATCTGAATGCTTTACTTACTAACACATACCAAATCTACTTATTTAACACATCTAAGGGGACATTATATATTTGTAAGGGTGTAGGTCATTCACAGTTCAAAGATGACTTCATATCAGAGGGCTATATCATATTTTATAGAAGAGATTCCCTTTAAAGCCACTAATACAACAAAGCCCTCCCCCCCGCCCCCACAGCACTCAGGATGGCAGGATCAACACAGAGCACGGGGGGGTCATGCCCTCTGCACTGAGCATTTAAAAAAAAATGAACTGTAGGCATTTAGAGCCATAATTGATGTTGAAAGAAAGAAAAGGTTGTGGGGGCAGAGCCAGTGGTTTAGGGGTGAGGAGGGGAGGGGGGAGGTGGGCAGTGCACCTTGACAGGAAACATAGAGGTGAAGAGCAGGAGTTGGAGGTTAGTTTGACAGAGAAAAAAAGAAGTGTTGGTGGTGGTGAGGAGAAGGAGTGGGGTAAGCTGCGGAAGTGCCAAGCCCAGTTTTAACTGAACTGAGGGTGGTGAGGTGGTGGTGGTGGGCTGATGCAAAGGGGGGTAGACAGAGATAGAGATCAGGGGGAGAATAAAAGGAGTGTGCAGCAGGGGAAGGAAGAGGGGAGGAAGAAGAGGAGCTTGGGGGTGAGAAAGAGAGAGGAAGGAGGGGGGGGGCAGGGACCTAGTGCACCTTGACACTTGCTCTCACCGCAGCACCTGATAAGTGCAATGGAAAAAAGTCTGGTTTCCTCCTGCATGTTAAGTGGTTTTTATTCTCCTCCTCTCCATGCAGCCTGTAGCTACAGTCTGCTACTGTACTAAAGCTACAGCACAGACGGAAATGACAGAAAACCAGAGTGAGAGAAAAAATAGCACATATTGTCTCCTTTTGTTTTGTGTCTGGTTTTTACACGTGAGTATCTATGAGTTGGTGCAGAATTAAAAGAATAACTTTATAGTGCTGTAGCTTTGTTTGCCTAAAAAATTTCAGAATGTAGTGTCTTCTCCCTTTAGAACCACCAAACCTCGGTTTGTGAGTTTATAATACAAGATGAAATGTAATTTTTGGGGTTGAGATAGTTGTTGTTCTTTTACTTTGGATGGACCAAGACCAGGTTTTAACCCTTGGTTTCATTCTTCATGCTAAGCTAGGCTAATTACCTCCAGATAAAGATTTGTATTTACCGTAACTGATTACTGCAAATAATTCATTTATTCTAAGCAACTCAAGTAACCTTTTTTTTTTAAATAGAAATACTGATCTGTAAAAGTAACATCTCTGTATGTTGATGCTGAACAAAACATTTTGTTGATCCCTTCGTTTGAGTTTTTTAAGGAAGCTACTATATTATGCTGAATTTGTCTGAACACCATCTGGCTGCAGTCACTTCTTTGGTTTTCTACCATTAAAATCCAGAAACGTCAGTTAATTTATGTTCAAAAGACAAGATGCAGATTGACTGTTGTAGAAGCTAGTTGTTAGATTTAGTTTTATACTTTGGATGGACCCATTCTCACTTTATTTTTCATGCTAAGCTAGGCTAATTACCTTGAGTACAAGTACAACCATGGTCTTTTTATGAATCAATACTTACCTGTGCCAGGAAATGATGTTAAGCAGAACAGACACATTTAAGCTTTAAAGAAATGTGTCTTTCCTTTTAGTATTTGTGTATTTGGCTATCACTATACTTACCCAAACTAAAGCAAAGAGCAGTAACTTCTTAATTAAAATTTCTGAACCACAAAATTATTTTTTAAAACTGTTTTTGAAACAAGATGAACTACAATTGATAGAGCATTGGAGATACCGGTCGTTGGTTGCTGTTTTTTTTTTTTTACTTTGGACCCAATCCAGTGATCCAGTCCCTATGCTAAGCTAGGCTAATTAAATAACAAATGCACTCACCAAACACAGCCTCTATCCTTTAGAGCCCGGAAAACATACAGGAGAAAATAATTCAAATAAACGAGGAGTGTGGGAGAAAAGATGACACATATGTATAATCTATATGTGCAAGTGATAGATGTAGTCTTTAAGTTGACACTGAACAAAAACAACTCGGTGATTTTAACATATTCCTTTCCTTTTCATTAATGTTTATCCATCATTTTTAACATATGCATTTTATAAACAACTTCTCCACAGAGATTTAGATGCTGAGTTTAATTTCCCCAACAGAAGATCAGATGACAGTGGATATATATCTTTACTACCTCATGCATGTGCTGACAAGGAACTCATTCCCATGATTTGTAAGTGGGTCTCTCCACAGAAGCAGCATTAACAATATTCACTTTAGATAACGTATGATTCCAGGCCCTAAGAGAGGATGGGTTTCTTAGAAATGCTTTGTTAGCACTCTCCCTCTTGATAAATGATTGAGGACATGTGGCCTGAGACATCAATACAATCTCTGTTGTAATTAAAAAAAGGTGCGCACCAACAATATTACACAGCTTTTGCTTTGTCTGTCTCCTACCCTCACTTTCCCTCTCTCTCCATCTCCCTCTCTCTCTCTCTCTCTCTCTCTCTCTCTCTCTGTTTCCCTCGCTCACCCACTCTTCCTCTCATTGAGCCCTGGAGCAGAGAAGAGATAATTCAAAAAGCACTTGCATGGAGTGAGACATGAAAAAGGGAGACATACGAAATTAAATTCTCTCTTTTTGCTCTATTGTTCTTTCATTTTCTGTCCTTTGTTACATAAATGCATAAAAGGAAGACAGGCTAGATTCTAATTATGATTTTTTTTTTTTTTACAAAACTGTAAGATTTTTTATTTAAAAAAAATAAGAAAAAGGTGTCACAAAAAAAAGCAGACATAATGTACTGCTCAAGCATGCTGCATCACTGAACTTCAATAAATATAATATTCTCTAAGTGTCCACATGAACAGTTATATAATAAATAGTTTGAAAATTAGACTTTGATGTCCTAACACAACTTTTTGTGCATCAAAAGAAATCGCATGAATGCTTTTATTCCCACACTTTCCTCCCAATCAACATTTGCCATTTTTTTATTAACCTAAAAATAGGTCAGAAGCCTTGTATCCAGATAACTGCTGCATGTCTTTCTTCTGTACAAATACACGCAGGAGACCGTTTCTTGGCCTATCAGCTGCAGCAAAATAAGAACCTAGCAAGCAGATACCACACTAACCACTAAGTCAGGTGGGTGCTTTATTTGGAGCCCTGTGGTAGCTCGTGATGGTTTAAAGAACAGGGACTGAGCAGGTTTATTAGAATCTGCGTGTGAAGCATGCATGAGGTAAGTAGTGGCGATGGTGTGAGAATGCATTGTGGGGTTTAGGATGAGGAAGAAGAAGTCATTGTAGGTTAGAAAGAAGTTAGAAACTACTTTGGGGTTGTCTTGTTTCTTGGCCATGATACAAGCCTGAGAGTTGGTAGAAGTTGATTTCTGTTATGTGGTCATAATACCACTGTCAGACATGGGGGCTCCTTGATGTAAATATACATGTACATGTTGGTATGGATGGCAACAATGGGGGTGGGGGTGGGGGTGGGGGGGCAGGAGGGTTGAAGAAACGATTCTTACCCCAGTAGAGGGCAGTCTCTTGCCGTCAGGGTTTGGGCGCATGGGCAGGGAACTGTAGAGCCTCACACCTCGATCTGCAGCACCGTATCTGCTCTGGAAGAGGAAGAAGATAAATCTTAAGTATACATTTCTCCCTTCTGCAGAAAACTCAGCGTAAAAAATAAATAAATCACGGACAGAACATTTCATTAAAAAAACAGTCAAGAGATCCAAACTTGAGTAAAGTTGCTTAAAACTGTACAAAGAACATTAACTTACTTAAAAGAGGAACATTTTGCCTTCATGTACTGATTACTCCATGATTTCATAAACATCCACTTGTCCTTATTTTGTTTTGTTTTTTATGCCTGTTTTCTTCTATTTTGACATTTTAAAAGTCCATAAATAAAACATGTTTTTCTAAAGGTACTTTAAATTATCTTAGTTTTTTCTTCTCCCTTCAGTGGTCTTATATGTATTGTAATTTGTCTCATTGTTCTAATTTTCTGTTCAATTATTAGTTTCATAAATGTTTCCTCCACACTGTCTGCCATGTTAAATTCCCATCACCTCATGCTGACGTCATAACACAAAATTGAGGTCGGCTCAGAAGCAGCACCAATGGTACTAAGATGTTGTGTTTGATCACCCCACTGTTCTCTGACTGACTGACTGACTCCATCTTTCTCAACATTACACAGCTAATAATTGGAGTGTAGTGGGTTTTTTAGTCTGCCAGCTCCTCCATGTACTTTTTTTCCCCATGTGGGTTTTCCGCTCTGTAACAGCAACAACCTGACGGTACTGCGGTGGCGAAACCCTCAGTAGTTGGGAAGCTAATTATTCGCAACAAGTGGTCCCTGCCAAGAACGACAGTGCGGCTCAGTGGGGTTCGCACCGTGGCCCACAGTAACAGCAGGGGGTTCATCCAAGGATCTACTCTCTCTATCTCACTCCTTGCCTTTTATCTCTCCGCTCACTTCACTCTCACATCTCACAGTGATTCCTTGATATCCTGCCATTCTCTCTTTGGAAACATCTGGTCAACAGTTTACATTCGGTTCCAGTCATGATAACCTACCGCGAGTGTTAATTGATAAAAAGAGCTTTTTTCTTTCAGCTGTTGGAGAGCGTGAGTATGCTTCTCCATGCTGCCTGCTGTTAAAATAAACGCTGCAACGAGCTCATAAATATTATTATTTTTGAAATACTAAATACTATTATTAGATTATATTTTCAGAATTGACTATGGCTGCTACCTCCCATGAACAGTATAGTGCTGAATGATGCATATAGTACCATAATGAGGCTACAATGTAGATTATTGTTAGAAAAGAAAACACTCAAAACTGGAATCAAGGCCAAATAAGACATTATCTCTTTCTCACACTAAGGCTTGCTTTACGTCTTCCTCACCTCTTTTGTTTAACATTCACTCTGAAACTTCATCACATGGATGCACATGTTCAACTCAAAATGTTAAAGTAACACTTGTTTTACATTGGCATAGCTGGTGCACCAAAAAAGTTAGATTCTGTGACATCAGATTAGATTTATTTATTGACAGTTTTTTTTGTAGACGAGGCTTACTATTGAAAAAAAGTGTTCCACAATTCCCCGGTTTGCAGTCAATCAAGTATGTATAAAATATATATCTATAATAAAGTACCTGTCTATCTATATGACAGTGTCTGACTCTCAGTCTGTCCTTATGAATGATGTTTTCCTGGTGCTGGATGGTTACTGCCTTACCATGAACAAACACAACAATTCACAACACTATTGTATTTTTTAAAACCTCAAGTTATTATTTCCATAACAGTTTGGTAATAAAAACCATTTCAATCGTTCTGTTCTTTCCCACTAGAATACACTTATTTAACAATAAAGTGACAAAACATCCGGGAACAATCAAATCTTGCCCTGCTGCTCAGTCACATGGTTCAGGCAAACACACATCCACAGTGCACACATGAGCTTTTACTGTGGAACCGCCGTAAACACACCTTTGCAGATTGTGTTTATGGGCCTAAATGCACAGTGACTACCTGACAGTGAAACCCACAAGATATGTGTGCAAAACGCTTTATCTAACATGCATGAAACTTTTTTTTAAAGAAATAACAGGCTCAAAGAGCATGATTTATTCCCTATCGGGAGCAGCTCTGTATGCAGAGCAGTGTACAGTATGTACCAACAAATCTAATGGTGTAGACTGTATATACAGTGCAGGCTTTCCCCAGAGGCACAGAGAGAGAAGTTCTTGCTGTGTAAGGTTTTGATTTCCTGTGCTCATTATGAAAGGTGAAAAACAGATGAGTAGACAGCAGTGGCCATCTTGTCGATATGGTTCGCATAATGATGACACAGCGTTATTAAAGAGAACTCTCATTTACAACTTTCCTCGATGCTGCACCATGCAGAAAACACAAACTCGTAAAAACAACTCTGATATGTTTGTTTTTAAACGAGGAAGAACTTTCTTCCCAACTTTATTGAGAGCTCTACTTTGTTCCCTTCTGTAGGGTTTTCAAGTATCTGTACTTTACTTGGGTATCTGTATTTTCTGTAATAAAATACAAATACCTGTTTCGATACCAAGGCAACACAAAAAATAAGTCCATAGGCACCCAATAATGGGTCATTTCTTGATTGTACATTTTTTTTTAAAACTGGCTCCAAAAACTCCTTCACTGTCTGAATTGCACAAATATGTTGGCAATTTTATCTGTACTGAAAAACCCGGTGCTATTATCTTGAGATAGAAGAAATAAATCAGTTGAGACCTTTAGAGAACAAATGGATATTATTAAAAAAATTTAGTAACAACATGTATAGATTCATGTCCACTTAGGGCTTCCTTAGAAATGTACATCAGAGAGCTACTTTATACTCTTATATGCACTTGTTATACAAGTTATAATGTTATATTCACTTTATACTGTCTGTTATTACACTGTTATATTCACTTTATACTGTCTGTTATTACACTGTTATATTCACTTTATACTGTCTGTTATTACCCTGTTATATTCACTTTATACTGTCTGTTATTACACTGTTATATTCACTTTATACTGACTGTTATTACACTGTTATATTCACTTTATACTGACTGTTATTACACTGTTATACACTATATAGTTTGTTTATGAATCTGGCCATTTAGACTTACTTTAGTAAAGAAGTTTAATCATTACTTCTACTTCTACGTATGAGGTTTTTTTTCAAGCATCAGTTCTCTGACTTGAAATAAAAGTGTATGTTCTTGTTCCATCTCTGACTGTAGGTCTGTGGAGACATCTGCACATCAGACATAAAATCAAGTGATTCATGATCATAAACAGCAACAGGACCCCGAATGTTATCATTAGTACACCCACAATCAGACACATCTTTCTCTTTCTACCGTGCATAGCAGCTACTGTACACTAACCACATCTCTCAATGGAGACTTTTTTTCCTTCCATGGCTTGTTAGGTAGCTTGCCAGCATCGCGGCTAAATGAATGCCTCACAGCGCAGCAGCTTTAGCCAGCGGAGGAGCCACAGTAAGTGAATGTTTGATATTTCTCCAGTGTGCCAGGCTAATCTGGCCCTGTGGCATGCCATTACGGGGCTAATAACAGCTGTCTGCGGCCTGGAGGGGACACAAGCAGTCCTGGCTGCGCTAACTGGCCCTGACAGACTCATTAGGAGTGCTGGCACCCAGAACAGCAACAGCCAAACTCCTCACATTTCCTCGCTGGCTCACAACGGTTTGCAAGTGCAAGAAGCATTGTTCTCTACACTTGTTCTCTGACACCTTTCTTTTGTTTTCAAGCCCTCACTTCAGACGCTCTCACCCTTGTCACCCCTCTTTCACTCGCTGGCTGCCTTTTTGGTTTCTGTGATATTTCCACCAAAAACAGATGCTGCCAGCCGTTTACCATCTCAGCCTGACACCATTTCTTTTTTATTTTCAAATCCTGCACACCCACACTCTTGTTCTGACCAGAAAAGAGCAGAAGGCAGAGTTCACTTGTTTGCTCACGCAACTCTCTGAGGAAAGTAAAGGTACAAAAAAAAATGAATTCATGAATAAATAATTCTCTAAGTCACTTTAACATTCTAACTAACTTCGTGTGTGCAGTCACAGGAAGATGCAGTACCGCACCGTGCAGGAAGAGCCTGGTATCCCCTCTGAACTCTGTTTCAGTTACTGCAGCCGGGGACGATGTTTGAGGACAGAGAGGGACTTCCCCAGGCAGACAGCAAAAGCAAACATTGTGCTGTCGCTTGGCAGGGTCGGGCCAATCGGTACGAGCCGAGCAGACAATAAACACTGAGAGCCAATGATGGCTGTCTGGATAGAGAAACATTAACAATAGAGGGAGGGGGGAGAGGTGGGCTGTGATGTGCTCTCTCGCACGACCCCTGACATGTGACCAACTTTTATGCTCATCTACAGATCTGAAAAGAGAACATGGACGTTGATGAAGCAGAATGTGTCTGACAAATGAGGTTACTCATTTAAAGGATGAAACACAAACTAGCTGGAGCTAGAATATGCAGGGGTCTGTTCCTGTATAGAGTATTTTAAAATCAGATGAACATTTCCTATTTTTAAACTGTTTAATTTTATATTGTTTTTCTAAGTTATGAGTGTTTTTCTTGTCCTGACTGTCTCTAGCTTTTGCTGTTTTGTCCAGGTCTCTCTTGAGAATAAGACTATGCGTCTCAATGAGATTAAAAATATGTTTTTTAATTGATAAAAGAGAAAAATTGTAATGAAATAATTTAGATTATATTGCTGCTGTGTCACACTACAATAATGGATAAAAGGTGATGATGATTCAATCTCAACAAAGTGATACAGGAGGCTGATACTATTTTCCATTTATATTACAAACATATTGCATTTATCTGACTTAACTTTTTTCAGTTCAACTTTGAAAAATTATCTTAAAGATGTACATTGTACATGTGCATTAAGAATAGATTCACTCTCTTAACACAAACACAAAAAATGTTAAAGAAGGAGAAAAATATGTTTTTCAATCAATCAATTCAATCAATTCATTCTATCAAGGCCGAGAGATATGAATATCACAAATAAATTGATGTGTTTAAATC